TTAGAAGCTCTCTATTTCTTCACCACTGTGGCTGCAGGTTAGAGCATAGACTTGAACAATCTTTAAGTTGTACTTATTGTTTAGTATTATTGTTACTGAAAACACTTTCGCTTATACTATAGAATTCCACAATATTCTATTCTAAACGTTTGTGAACTAAGAAACTTACACCTAATTCCTGAATGCTACCCTGGCATTTACTTCTCCAAAGCACATGTCCATCATTTAGTATCTTCTTTTTTCGCCTAATCTACTACCTTCACAGAGTCCTACAACATCCTATTTAGTGAAAGAGAGTTCCACAAGTAATGCTAGTATTTCGGATTCAGTTCGTAGTGTCCTTATATTATATGTGCAAAGGTTTATCAACGTGGGGCGGCCTGTTTTAATCACAGATTTTTAGCACCCTCTGCTCCAGAACGATCCTGATCGTAACCAGGGACTCCTTCGCCTCCGGGGAATGAGGGCTGTTGCTCTGTGCAGTCATGGTTTCTGATTGAGAGGTAGATAGGCGAGTTACCTCCACCTACTGGCTTAGGTGTATTTTGGTGGAAGGGAAGTAGTTTAGCCGTGATTCCACTGACAAGCCAGTCCAGCAGGGATGGCCCTCTCTAGTGTGGGCTTATGAGCAGCAACGCGCGGGCCTGCTCACTACACCAGAGTATATACTCCCGTGAGCATGGACTTCAGTATCAGAAGTGTATAAAAATGTGAATATATTTTATACACTTGCATTGGACAGAGTTTTAAGATGCATACTGCTTTAATACAGCAGGGGGGGACACTGTCTTTTCTGGGGGCAGTCTTATAATATACATTTATGTCCGACATTTTCCACGGTGGAATATAGGGTCTTAGTTATGGTTATGTTCAGCTGAGCTAAATGTTTACATGTTACTTGTAATCATGGATTTGAGAAAGAATCGGTGTTGTCATTGAAAATTAGCTCCTGTATTCTATGTTTTAGTTGTCTTTGGAATTCTGTACAAAGGAGGGATTCTCTATACACTGATTTCATTTATGCATATGTACACCTAGTGTAGAAATATTTGTTCACCCACAAATGCCTTAAGTACTACGCATATATTAATTTTCGTGTACATGCACATGCAAGCATACGCCTTTACATATGCTCCTATGTATATGATATGCATACATACTCCTACATTATACATAACCACAAACATGCACATGTATACACATACATAGACCTATGCACACAAGTACTTATGACTATACATACACACACATATATATATATCCATATTATTCTTACACGTGTAGGTGCACATACGTTTATGAGTACACATTAGTGTTCATCCACATATATACGTATACACCTGTTCATGCACACACACACACACACACACACACACACACACACACACACACACACACACACACACACACACACACACACACACACACACACACACATATATATATATATGCATATATATATATATATATATATATATATATATATATATATATATATATATATATATACACATACACATACACATTTATATACATACACATACATATATATACACATACACACACACACACACACACACACACACACACACACACACATATATATATATATATATATATATATATATATATATATATATATATATATATATATATATATATGTATATATACGTATATATATGCATATATACATACACATGCACATATCCATATACACATACATATATATATATACACATATACATATATATATATATATATATATATATATATATATATATATATATATATATATATATATATATATATGCATATATACATACACATGTACTTATACATATACACATATATACACACCTACACCTACACACATACCATACACACACATATACATACGTATACATGCACACACATGAATGTACACACACACACATACACATATACATATCTACGTAAGCATACACATGTATACCTTCGTGTACAAGCACGGGAACATACACATGCATCTTGTACTCTTACGCATAACTGTACACATACATATAACTGTACATATACAACATAACCGTTTACACATGGCCTGCATACACATGCCCGCACATGTGCATATGTGTCCGTAAATAAGTTTAGACGCACATGTTTATTGCTTCTATTGCACACACACACACAAACACGCATACACCTGCATACACACTCATACTCGCGCACAAACGTTTAAACAGCGTCTGCCTGAGCACACATATGCTCTCCATTATAATGATCCCATGCATTATAATGTGCATGAACTGTAGGCTTGCAGCCGAGGGGTTGAGGGAAGGAGGCGATGATGTGGGAGAGGAGGATTTAGGACGATGTTGGAGTGGGTAAGGACGGGGTTTGGGGTTACAGGAAGTTAGAAAGTTGATTTTGTGTCTGGCTGTTTTTTTTCGAAGTCAAAGCATTTTTTCTTATTACATACATTGTTCTTCATATGAAAAGTGGAATTTGCATAAGGTTTTGGAT